GGTACCACTCCCCGGATCTATCTTGTGAAAGATATCTAGTTATTGCATGTATTTCCAGGATGTAGGTATAGGATCCCAAGCGTTATGTCGGATGCTGAGGACTTCGGCCGTTCTATATAGAATAAGCTTTCCAAGCCACTAGCGCTGCAATCGACGGACTATCGACAAGTTCCCAATCTGGCATACCAAGATGTTTCAAAAGCTTTTTGCCGTTCCGCGACATTATCCAAATAACATTCGCCGGAGTTGACCGTACATTGGTAGGGGAATCCATGGTTGCACGCCGTTTGGACCAAAGGGTCTGCGTGCGCTAAGCGATCTTGAGCGTAGCGTCGATGAGGCTGATTTCTAGCGACCCACGTGGCGATTACCATTTGACACAAAATCCCATCTCACTCCAGTCACGCATCGTGGGGGGAGCCAACAGTCCACTGCGCACATGTCTCGAAAACCATCGACATCTCTGGGCCAGGGGGAAATGATACGACAGATTACCCCTCGTAATTCTTCTCACAAAAATGCTTCGTGATCCACACATTCGCCCACGGTGCAATATGACAGGCGGTGAAAACTTCTCAAGGTAGCGGCATTTGTCCGAGCGTGAGGCTAAACCCAGTATTATCGTGTTATCCTCCTTATCGTTCGCCTTCAGTTTCACGATAGACCCTTTTTTTTTCCCCGCGTCGTCTCCGGTTCTTTTCCCTCTCCACATTCTTTCTTTTTTGTTTCCCGGCGCGCGCGTTACCCTCTTCGTCCTTCGTTCCTTAGCGAGAGACGTCAAATGAGTTGCAGTCTCACGGGCAGTTGTCTGCCGCCTTCAAGCAGTTTACCACCCGCTCGTTTGCTAGTTTCCCTGCCGGAAGTCCAGATCACCTCGGCGCTGAAGCATTTGCGGGCCTTGTATTGTCCCGTACGCTTACCGACCGTTATTTCCACACCAGTATCCAAGCGAGATCAGCAATCAATCACGTCGCCACCAGCCCCTGTTGATTCCGGCTATGCCTCTCAGGACGAGGACGAAGACGACCAAGAAACGAGTTTCGAAGAGCTGACCGCCGCTCTACGTGCCGACCCATTCGAACGCACTTTCACCACGCAATGGCTAAACTCGCTTCTCGCACGTTCGGAGGAAATGAATATGGATGAAGAGGCTCGTGAGAGGATCGTCGATGATGCTGCCTTTATTCTTTCGAGCTTATTCGAATTCAGCAACAGTGACGAAGACGAGGCATTAACCCGGGACTTCAGCTTTGCCATGCCCTCTGGAGAAGCAATCCAAGTCACACTCAACGATGCGCCGCTCTCAAGTACGGACCACACCGCCGTTGGCCTGCAATCCTGGGGTGCTAGCATCGTCCTTAGTAGTATGATGTGCTCCAATCCCAAGCGATTCGGACTGGATCCATTAGACCTCGCGCCCGCACCTAAGATTACCGAGTTGGGTGCAGGAACTGGCCTCGTCAGTCTAGTGCTGGCAAAGCTCCTTCCCACTATCAACATTCCCGGTGGCGACATCGCAGCGACCGATTACCACCCCGCCGTCCTGGAGAATTGCGAACTCAACATCAAAACTAACTTTCCCTCGAGCTGCACTGATGCATTACCACCTGTGTCGACTGCACTTCTGGATTGGGCACAGCCACCTCAAGCGCTGAAAGCAACTTCTAATCTTCTCATCGCTTCTGACGTCGTCTATGCACCCGAGCATGCTGCCTGGCTACGTGATTGCGCTGCGCATATGCTGACTCCGGATGGAAATTTCTGGCTAATGGTCACGGTGCGCAAAACGGGCAAGTTCGAAGGGATTCCCGACACTGTCGAGTCTGCTTTCGTTCCTGAAAAGTGTCCCAAGAACACAAGCGGCATGATTTTCCGCATACTGGAAAAGGAGTTTGTTGAGAAGAGGAGGGGTATTGGAAGGGGCGATGAGAGCGGATACAATCTGTATCGGATAGGATGGGCATAGATTACGATGAACATAGATGGGTCATGCGGGTGGCGTTTTTGAAGATCCTGTTTTGTGTGCATAGATCGACGATGCTATGATATTTAGAAATGAGTAAGCACTTTCAATATTTTGTTGTTTGCCGAATAGACCGATAGTTGGAGAATTAGATAATTGGCAAACAAGAGAGATGACTTTTGTTGTCCATCTATAACTTTTGACAGAATTTCATCAAAACATTAAATTTGCAGTATTCATGACTCATCATACACTTGACACCCCCCAGTTACTCTTCGGGTGGGTAGACTACAATACGATCAATATCCGCACCCTTGTGATCTTTTCCGTTGTAGAGACCACCAATGGTAATGGTGTTGTGACTTCCCTTCTCCAAGTCGAGCATGAGTGGTGTGCTCAGAATAATTCCCTTGTGGGTATCTCTCTGATACAATGTCTGGAGCTCCTCAGTCTTGTTGTTCACAATGACGCTGGAGATGCGACGAAGCTGCCAAGTTCCATTGATACGGTCGGGAGTGCCACCAGGTTGGTCACCAAAGCCCATGTCGTCTGTATTTTGATAGTGGAACGATACCCACTGAGGTTTGCCACTGCCTTCAATGTTGTGGAAGGTGACTTTGCTGTCGTTGCCATAGATGCCAGTGACGATGACTTTGTCGCTTGCAAATCTGGCTTCCTGGTGCCATGCATTGCCAGTCGTGGTTGCATCCTTGTTATAGTAGGTAGTGCCTTCAATGGGTGTGACTTCTCCCGTTTTTACATCCAAATCGTAAACATCATGCCATATAAGTTCAATGGATTTTTCTTCCTCGTTGATTTCGAGTGGAAGCCAAATGTACCTGCTCGTTGTTAGCACTCTATCCTTCTCTATTCACTCCTTCCAAGTTTCTTGCCTTGATTCCCACAGCGAGATGGAATCCCATTGGTCTCCCATATAGATATAGGTCGTCTTCTTGGTACCGTTGATACGGAGATTGAAGCCTGACTGAGAGTTGTACGTGCGCGTATTCAACGGCGCAATTATGAACGGCTGCGACCAGGGGCCAGAAAGAGAGTCTGCGCGGAAGGCCACCACATCTTGGCAAAGTTAGTGCTTTTTGCACACTCTGATGGAAACTTGCATCTTACTATTTGGTCGATACCCAGTCTTATGCGACATAAGGGCAAAGTAGCTCTGATCTGTCTGTACGATATTCGGGGCCTCTAGGTCGTATTTATCGAAACGGTGGATGACCTCGTCCAGGGCAGTTATATTCTCATTGTAGGATGTGAGATAAACGTCGCGTCCTTCGCGGCGGTCGCCATTGGAGTAAAGTGCGTATGCGCGTCCATCTTTCTGGTCTACAAACATGCCAAAATCTTGCGACCAATTTCCAAGAGGTGCCGTAGTATCGACGAAAGTATAGGGTCCGGTGATGTTGTCGGAAACGGCAAAACCTTGAAGCAACTCACCGTACGTCGAATTGTCGGCATGCCACCACATCTACAAATTATCAGTTGAACCGCCAAGAGAACATGTGCCAATGTCGTACGTGATACTTGCTGGTAGCCTTGCTGTATGCGACTTTTGGTCTTTGGATGATGTCCTTCTTTGAAATGTAGGGATGGTCTTCGATTGGGGTCAATGCTAAACCGTGGGGTTCCCATGTTGCAAGATCGTCGGAGCTGTAGACGCTCACACCACCACCTTCTTCTTGACCTTGAACTTTGTATTCTCCAAACAAAAAGAACTTGCCAGTCTCAGGATGTACAGTCACACCGCCTGCGTGCGCATTGACGAGTGAGCCATCTGTTGCTCTCCATCGAGCTCCTGGAACAATCCATTTAGCAGATGTGGTTGCCGAAACTAACACAAGACGGCAAAATAGCTTGCCGAACCCCATTGTGAGGCTCTGGTGGGAAGACTTGGATGAGGATGCTGCTGGGTACAATGGCTTGCTTGGACTTCATATAACAGCCGGTCAAAGTCCACAAATATTTCCCAGCCAAGCGATTGCGGGGGTTAATAGCCCGAATCCACAACAACATGAACTCTGGAAGATGTTGTGTGGGGCTCCGCACTTCTTCTGGCAAGAGATCATCGTATTTCTCCAGGTTTTAGCATTGCGCTATTACCGCATTTCGGCATGGCTGACTGTGGTGTCGGAAAAACCAAGACGACAAGCCCTTTGCCTAGTGAGGGGACGCGAGAATAGCCAGGCGAGCCGCAGATGCTACCAGTTCAAGCAATCGTTCCGTATGTAACCGGGTTATAATTTCTTCGGGTATACGGGCCAAACAGTTCTGCTACAATCTTCTATCTAAAAGGCAGTTAACATGACTCGGGGTAGCTTGAAGGGGGCATTTGCTTGCCAATATTGACGTCATGTTTACCACCAATGGCATCCTTCACGTGCGTAACTACATAGCCTATGGTATGCACTATTTCTGAGAATAGGCTGTGAATCAGACTGTATGTTTCACGTTTCTCATTGAAATGCAATGTTGAGCTGCGGAAAAAAAACCACTATAACATTCATAGTGGATGCGCACCTGCAACTATGCCTTTTCAAGCACATGCCTCCGTTTAACAGGTGTGCAACCAACATCAAGTTGTGGGGATCACGTGAAATCAACGTTGAAAGGCAGACAAACAATACCATAAGTGATCGAATTAGCAGTTGCATCATTCATGTTGTAGATGTTAGTTGATTGGCCGGCAAGTAAATATATATGTACAATAGATAAAATAGAGTCAGAAGAAAAGAAGCCGTGAAGGAGCAAACACCGGCATAGGCCAAGCCACATCATATACTGTCTAAAGACCGTCACACCAGCACTTTATACAGCTTAGATACACATGGAGAACCATGGGTTGAATGCGACACACCTGCCGTAACGGCAAGTAGTAGGTCCAGTGTAACCCTTACCACCACAGCGTCCGAATAGCGAGACACTGTCGCTGTTACCGTAGCCACCGCCGTAGCTGCCGTCATTATTCCCGCTGCCCCTGATGGTCTGTTAGCTACGTGAATGATTTAGAGGTTGCAGAGATGTCTTACTGAGTTGGGGTGGCAATGGTGGAGGTCTTGGTGATGAGAGTGGAAACGGACAAGGTAGGGAAAGGCACTGTGACGTTGGCGACTGGAGTGCTGCTTGTCTTGGCAGTGGAAACGGTCAAGGTGGGCAGAGGCACTGTCACATTATAGACTGGGGTGCTGCTTGCTGTGTCAGTGGTGGTTGGTGCCTCAGCCGCACCGCACTCTGGGAGCTTCTCGAGTTTGCCCTGGGGACCATTGCAGTTTTGCTTGGTGTTGAGCCTCTGACTCTTGCCGTTACCCTTGTCAACGCCCTGGTAGTCTGCGCAGACGTCCTTGGTCTCTCCACAAGAGCCGCTGATGGTCGCACTGTCACCAAAATTGGGGTTGATTCCAATCAAGTCAGAGGTTAATCCAAATGCCCTGACGTTCTCGACAATGACTTTACGGGGAGACTTCTTGCTGTTGTTGGTGCAGTCACCGCATGAGCGATAGAGTTTACCGGCATTGACAATGGTGTAGTCACGGATTGTCACAGTTCCAGGGCCGCTACAATCGTGTCAGAGGGTTTCATGTCCGCAATGGTGAAGGAGAACTTACTTGTGTTGAACAACCTTGTCAATAGCATTAGTTGCTCCACCACCAACAATGAGGGCGTCACCAGTGCCAAGGACAGAAATGGCATCTTCGCAGACGTCACGGAACCAGACGTTGGTCAGCGTACAAGAGCCCAAGCAGTGGACGCCCTCGAGCGCATCGGTACCAATAATAACGTTAGAGATGGAGGCGCCGTCTTGCAGCACGAAGACAGCATTCTCGCTGCCAGTGTCGTCGTCCGTATCACACTTGTGACCACGGTCAAACTCTTTGTAGCCGAAGTCAACGGAACCTGTGATAATGCTAGCTTCTGGCAACGCAATCACGTCACCGACACGAGTGGGAATGTCCAGGATATGCGCAACGGCCATGTTGGCGAAGAGTGAGAAAAGAGCGACTTGAGAGATCATGCTGAAAAAGAGTGGCGAGTTGCCAATCAAAGCGATCTCAAGAAAAGGTGTGATGGATTAGAAGGATTGGAGGGTGCTTCCTGATTAGGCACAAAATTAGAAGTGAAAACGAAAACAGTGCAACACGATAGCATGGGAAGAGATGGGAAACTTACCGTCTTTAACGGACACATGTCTAATTCTCTATGCATAAGCGCTCGGTTCGCAAACACATGTGGATACCTAGTTAAGCGGGTGGTGGAGTATGCGAAATTACCGCAGACGGACTTGAGTGTCAAAGGCCAAGACGACGCTGCAGGAGGAGTGGGGGCACGTTTTCTGCATGGGCGGATCGTTCGAGAAAAAGGTGCGATAGTTACTATTGTAGGACAAGTGGCTGGCAGCTGATAGGGCTAGGCCTTGTGTGGTCGAGTGACTTTCCTCGTCTTTCAAAGTGTATGAAAGACTACGTAGTGACGGAATAATTAGTAGATGCCTGTATGGTACAAGCTGTTCCTTTGATCTTTTTATAAAACACTTTGGGCGAGCGGTAGGGCAAAGTTGATCAAGTGAATGGGGTTTGCCATGGCTGCAAACAGCAGGAGTAAACATTCTCCCCGCCACAGATCAGTTCCAAATTTGTCGTTGGATCTAGTATAAGTAAAGATTTCTTGGCTTCAATTTCACATAGACTTGGCGTCTCGGCCAGACTTTTAGGCCTCGTTTCCGAGTACGGGCGGACAGCTACGAAAACCACGGTCCCCGGAAGGGTCGTTATGCCCAGCAAATCTCTCGATGGCTATCGTCAATTAATAGAAAGATGTGCTCTCGTCGAGGACCGCATCTCATATAGCACGCTCGCAGACGGATAGCTGCGGGCCTAAGAACGGGTCGCGTTATGTACGTAGCACGTACTTTCTTGCATGCCAACCCGCTTACTTGTCAAATAACCTTTGCCACGGTGCAAAGTACCTACGCGCCGGGAATGAGATCTTACATGACGTTTGAGACTATTTCTGCAGGTTTGAGGGTGTTATGTATGTACTTACATACATGCTTCAAGCATGTCGAAGCCAACGGACGAATGAAGACGCTCTGAACGGTATGCCGATGAGGGAATGTTGTGCGATATAATATGTAGGATAGGCAATCTGGACCCCTGTGTGGTTCTCGTCCTGTGCCGAATCTGTCATGAGAATCGCCCAGGTTTTTCCAGTAGGCGGTTAGGGCGAGGGCGCGGACATGCGGCCGAGCCCGCACAGACGCCCAGAGAGAAGAACATTTCAGCGGGTCAGAGTCTTGGCACCTGGAATAATTTCCAGCAGTTTCAAGTCGAGACCAGCGAACCGTCAAGGCCGACACAGACCTCTACACCGCACCAAGATGTCATCGATGCGAAATGCCGTCCAGCGGCGCAACCACAAAGAGCGCGCGCAGCCCCTTGAGCGTGAGAAATGGGGTTTGCTCGAGAAGCGCAAAGACTACAAGCTGCGCGCCGCAGACCACCGAGAGAAGAAGGCCAAGCTCAAGATTCTGAGCCAGAAGGCTCGCGACCGCAATCCCGATGAGTTTTCCTTCAAGATGATGTCGTCCCAGGTGGACAAGCATGGCCGCAAGGTGGCAGACCGGGGCAACAAGGCCCTGAGCGTCGACGTGGTTAAGCTGCTGAAAACCCAGGATGTAGGCTACATCCGCACCATGCTCCAGGTCACCCGCAAAGAGCGCGAAGAGCTCGAGAAGAAGCTGGTCATGGAGGAGCAGGGCGAGGTCCGGGCTATGAAGGACGGGGAGGAGGCAAAACATGGCAAACATAGGGTCTTTGTGGACAATGAGGAGGAGCAAGAAGAATTCGATCCGGATACATGGTTTGGGCGTGGCGAGAAGATTCCTAGCCGAGTAGATTCACCGACGTTCGGTGATCTCCAAGACGAGTCGTCGGAAGACGAGGACCAAGCCATACAGCGGCCCAAGACGCTGTCCAAGAAGCAAGCAGAGGCAGAGGAGCAGGCGCGGCGAGAAGCGAGGAAGTTCCGCAAAGACAGGGAGCGTGCGCTGGAAAGGACAGCCTCGAAACTGCAAGGGATCAAGAAACGAGAAGGCGAACTGATGGCGGCAGAAGAGGAGCTGGAACTGCAGCGCGCAAAAATGAACAACACAGTGGGAGGAGTCAACAAGAACGGCGTCAAGTTCAAGGTCCGCGAGCGCAAACGTTGAAGACACTGCGTTGAATTGGAAACAAACAAAAAAAAGTAATCGAACATCAAAACTATAGTCTCGCCGGCATCCTCATTGCGCCGTCCAACCGCAGCACCGTTCCATTCAACATGTCATTTCCAATGCATTCCACCACCAATCTGGCAAACTCTTCTGGTTGTCCTGGCCTCTTTGGGAACTCCATGCTATTCTCCAGGCTCTTCCTGACCGTATCCTTCATCATGCGCGTCATGGCGCTGTCGAACATACTGGGCGCTATCGTCACGGCTCTGATACCGTACCTTGAGAGATCGCGGGCGAGGGGGAGGGTCAGAGATGCAACTGCTCCTTTGGAGGCTGCGTATGCAACCTGACCCATTTGGCCGTCAAAAGCAGCAGAGGAAGCAATCATGATGATGACACCGCGGGCGCCGTCGGGGCCTGAAGTAGGTGCAGTTGTCATGTGTGGTAGTGTCTGCCGGATCAGATCCAGCGTTCCTCGCAGGTTGATGTTTAGTACGAAATCAATGCTCTCAAGGCTCAACGGCTCATTCTTCTTGTCGATGATTAACCCTGGCATTCCCACACCTGCGCCAGCGACCACGCCTCCAATGTGCTTTCCTGTTTCCTTTACCCAAGCCACTGTTCCCTGTACTGCTGCAGCAATGGCCTGAGTATCCGAGACGTCGGTTTCGAAGAACTTTGCGCGGGAGCCGAGTTCAGAGATAACTTTGGAGCCATTGTCGGCATTGAGATCGAGCAGCGAGATGTATGCGCCTTGCTGGTGGAGTGCGCGTGCTGTTGCCAGGCCGAGTCCAGACACGCCGCCGCTTATGAGGAATGTTCGGTCTGCGATCTTCATCTTGTCTTGTTTGACTGCTTTGCGCTTGTGTCGGGCGTCTGATGGAGAAATGAGGATAGGCAAGGTTAACGACTACAAAAGAGAATATGCGATGCGACGAATGTAGTGTTGATTTGCGTGTAAATGTACGTGAGAGATCTTGTACCGCATGTGAACTGTTTCCCTAGCTGCACTACCATGTACCTCGGTCCATCAGCCTCCCCCCATCGGCACCAAACGTGCCCAAAACACCGACACCAGCATGCTCCACTCCGTATCCACAATTGTAATGCCTGCTCCGAATCATATCAATCTCGACTTTGGCATCACGGTGTTGCGGAGTGACCAACCATCCAGGTCTTGCAACTCCCAGCGCCCAATCTCTCTCACGACGGCTGCTACAGTACATAGCAGATTGATCACACACTCGAATTACGATACACGCATACTCCCCCACCACGCTCGCTTTCCACCCATCACCATCATCGAGGCGACACAGCAACCTAGAAATATAGGATAGAGAGACAAGTCACTCGACGCAGCGCCTCCTCCGCGCACGCCTCCCTTCACCACTACCACCACCAAGAGCAAAAAATGACAGACCGCATGATAGTCGGCAACAACCCGCTGCCCAGCAACCCGACGCCGCTGTCCGCCCCGCAAGAACAACAAGTGCGCGACCTATACTACAAAAACGTGCGCGCCAAATGCGCCCCCGAAATCGAAACATTTGCCTCGTGCGCCCTCGGTCGCACATTTACCATGATCTATGCGTGTCGCGATGCGCGCCTCGCCATGAACAGCTGTATGCTGCAGTATCAGAATCAGGATGAGCTGGACAAGGCGCGGCAGGAGTGGTTTGCGCTTGCGGGGGAGAGAAAAAAGGTAAATTATCCTTCTTATACATCTATTCTCCATCTCCTTCTTCTTCTTCTTCTTCTTTGCCAATGCTTAAATGGTGGGCATGAGGGGGAATTGATTAGCAGGTTTAGGATATTGATTTGTTTCTGACGATTTTGCAGGCGAGAGAAGAACATCAGAGGAAGCTTGAGGAGGCGCGGACGAAGCACAAGGAATGGTGGAATTTGGATGAGCAAGGGAGGACGGTGGGCAAGAGGGCTGAGCACGTGAATGAGGCGGGGCTGGCGAGGCGGGAGGAGAATCGTGTGGATGATCGGGGTGTTACGAGGGGAGGGATATATAGAGGGACATGAATGAGGCTGAATGTGGAGCGGAAAGGGCAAGAAGAAGAAGAAGAAGAAGAAGAAGAAGAAACTCACATTGCCCATCCTCTTGTACAGGAAGGACGAAACTCACTTTGTATGATATTGTAACATCATGTGGGAAAATATCCATTGATTTTTCCATTGTTTTTTAATTGCTAAGTAATGATTCCACGTAGAATCATGCAAGACGGAGCCATTTGAAGCTCTGGTATATATAATGTAGAAAAGCCAGGCCCATACCTCTCTCTCTCTCTCACAACGCCATGAAATGCTAAAAGACCCACCGAACGCCTTCTTTTCACTCTTCGCACGATCGCCCCCCACCGCCAATTTCCCTACCTCGAACAACAATGACCTCAGGAAAAATCACCCGTTATTCTCTTGGTTGATTCCCATGGCTTCCTCAAACTCATCATCATCCTGCTCCTCATCCTCCATACCACCCATAGTTGTATCCCCCGCTTCACCACCAGCGTTGCCATTAACCCCACCCACAGGGCCGCCAAAACCCGCTCCACTAGCACCCACATCATCGTCCATGTCGACATCCTCATTAGTATCCCCGAGCTCCTCTTCCCACGCGCCCTTGACGTCCCATCCCACGCCCGTAAAGCAGTACCGCTCGGGCGGCAGGCGAATGCCAAACTCACGGTCTACACGGGGCAGCGCAATGCGGTTCCGCTCGAGCGCCACCTCGCTCATGAATTCCTTGCCCAGCGTGCCCTGGAAGGTGTTTGCGGCCCGCGCTCCGACTGCCGTGCGCAGCGCATTCAACGACACGCCGTCTTCGCCTGACTCGGCGTTGGGGCCGCTGCGTTTCTTCGATGCCGACGTCGTGGGCAAGGGTGGCTCGTATGATAACGCGTCGGAGAGAATTGATGAGGTATATCGGTAGGCAAAGTCGAGGAGCTGTAGCGGTACGCGCTCCGTGTAGGCGTGTACGCCCATGTTGGCTAGGATCAGGTGGATGAGGCGTGCGTCGCGAGGGCGCTTGCTGGTTCCATTGTCTTGGAGTGAGCTGGATGGAAAGGCGGCGTTCATGCTGGCCGTTGGGTTTGTTGACGCGCCATTGGATGCTTGCGACGGTTGCGATGCAGGTGGTGGCTGTGTGGGTGGGCTGAGTGTGGGTGCGTTCGCAGTAGCTGGTGGGGTAGAAATGCCATTAGGCACAGTTTCCGCGGCTGGCGAAGCCATGGCGCCCGTGATATAAGGGGGAGACGCGGGGTTGGGTTGGGTTGGGTTGTTGGTTGCTCGTCTGCAGTCAAGGTGAAGTTACCCAAGTCGCGCCGTGCTTGGCGTGCAGCATGCAGAATCCGGGGAAGAACACCACACCAGTGAAGCACATGAGTAAACAACCAAGTAAGTTCACAATCTTATGAAGCGATATGAAGTTCATTTCTTTTAAACGCCAGTAGCTTTTTTTTTGGTTAAACTTGTATACCAAACAAGTAATACAGGCTATGCCTTGATATTCTCCTCAGCCATGTCCTCCTCGTCACCGGTAGCCTCACTAGCAATGCTCTCATGCAAGCTTGGTGTCTTGTCCTTTTTGCCAATACGCTTAATAGAGCCCCAAACACTTGCCTTGTCTTTTGAAGTACCAATGCTTGGGCTATTTCCTACGCTGTCGGCGCTTTTACCCAACCCAAAAAAGCCGCTAGAGCCTTCCTCTTCGACTTCATCTGGAGTTCCGGGAACATCGCCAGCCTTGCTCTTAGAAAACAGGCCACTCTTTTTTCCAAAGGTAAGAAATTGGTTGGTGCTGCCTTTGCGTGTCAGTTTCTGCATAAACGACTCTTTGCCTATAGAGCCTGCAGTGTCCGATGCAGCGTAAGAAATGCTATGTTCTAATGATTCGCGTGGAGACGACTCCGATGCATCGGCCGTGGAGATGGATGGTGTATCTCGGGACATGCGAGAGTCAAGGCGGGGTGAGGTTGCTTCTCGCGAGTCGCCAGCTTCGGATGGCGAATGCTTGTCTTTGCGTGATGCTTTTTCTGCCTTGTCCGCCTTGGCTTTCTTCTCCTTTTCTTCCTTCTTTTCGGCTTTTTCAGCCTTCTTGGCTTCCTTCTCTGCAGCCTTTTCTGCAGCTCGTTTAGCCTTCTCGGCCCTATCTTCCTCCGTCTTCTTTCCCAACTGGAACATGGTGAAACTAGCAGCCGCTGGGTTGAGTTGTTTGGGTGGGGTTGGCGGAATAGGTGGCAGAGACGAGGCTGACATCTGACCCGGCATGTGCGACGCAGACGACTGCGGTCGGGTGCCAATTGGTGCTTGCGTAGGTGATCGCGTGTTTGAAGGAAAGTCGAGAACATCGTCATGCATGATGTCCTCATTGATCAAGTTGGCGTTGGCTGTATGCTGGATTGATGGCCGCCTAGACCCCAACCGGGACCACGAGGCAGTATTAGTGTTGTTCACACTCCAGTCGACTCCGAGAGGGCTAGACCTGGCACCGAACGCGTCCACATTCCAACCAAAGCGCGTCTGGCTTTCTGTCGAAGGCCGTGGCAGTGCCGTGCCTTCTCCAGAATTCGTAGACCCCTGGCGAGGTGACTCTGGCCTCTGCTGCATTCCCAGCATGGAGCGGAGCCACGGATCGTCTCCTTTGGCACTACCAAACATATTGAATGGTCGCTTGCGAGTAGCCACATGCTTGGGACTGCTCGAAGACTCCATGGGTTGCGTCTTGGTGCGTATGAATGCATCGTACCACGCACCTTCTGTGAGACTACCACGGCGGCGTGGAGCGCCAAGGCCATCCAGACCATGCTCCTGGCGTGGCAGGGACTGGCTTTGGGATGGCTTGAGGGATCCCAAGGCCGGGCCGTCGTCTGAGAATGTCTTGCCGCGTGCCCGATTGAGACCAAAGAGTCCGCCGAATCGGCTGGCTTGAGGGTTAGTTTGGAACGAGCTTGAGGTTGAGTGGATGGAGCGTCTGTCGCTATCCATGTTGTTGTCGTTGCTCAACTGCATTTGCAGGTCGCCGGCGCTATCTCTGGGACTCGCAAATCCAGTGGGGGACTGAGTCCGTGGTGAGGCCGGCAAGCTTGAATTTTGAGCGTGGTGCATAGTGCCAGGTGTGTGGTGCATAGTGCCAGGGGCACCTAAGCCGGGTAGAACGTTTCCCATATTTGGCGAGGGGTTGAGCGAAGGTGCTTGTGGTGGGCCCGGGTCGTCGTCATCTGCTTCATCTTCTGTCAAACCCAAGTCGTCTCCAAACAGACCAGCTGGAAGCAAAGAACCAGCCGTGGGACTCATTGGGGCTCCTCCAGTTAGACTCTCCATGTCGGTTTGCGAAAAGGATGTGCTGTATGTACGCGGAGGTAATGCCATGCCGTTTACTGGATTGAAGTAGGGAGTTGGGTTTGCGAATGACGGGGAGGCGGTGGTTGGGATGCTGTTAAAAGGGGCCGAAGAAGTGTGGACAAAGCCTCCAGTGGCAGCAGAAAGTAGGCCTTCACGCATGCTAAGCGGTCTTGTGCGCTGGCTGTTCCGCCTCACTGGTCCTGGTCCTGGTCCCA